ACGAGCGATTTCATCGTAGGACATACGGCGATCTTGTGCTCCAAGAGCTGAACCACGTGATACTGGCATGTGAGGTTGGGATTGACTCATGATGCGTTCAAGCATGACACTTCTAAATGAAGCACTACTAAGTACGGAAGGCTGCTGGTGACGCTGTCCGTTATCAGACCTAATTTATGCTACTTCTATCCTAACATCTTGTACTTCTTCCTTCATCTATAGCATCAACTTCCGCACTCACGCAATACTGCTACTGGAGTGAGCTCTTCCTTCTTGTCCGACACATTGTGAATGACATTATCATTCTGTTGTGATGAACTCATAACCTGTTGAACTAAATCGGTGGCCCGATACGCTACTTTTGCGCAAAGTGCTGTAAATGATAGATAGGACGGGAGGACCTGGTGGTTTGAAGGTGAGTTTCCAAGTGAATGTATTCTGCTTGAAGCTATGTAGTTATGTATTGGTTGGGAGTTTCATAACTCCTCCTGGTTTACTTAGGTGGAGACTTAACTTGTTTCCAACACTCAGGCAAGCACCGGTGCAACGAAGTGCAGTCGTATTTCTTTCGTTCCAGTCACGACTTCTCCAGACGCCTTCATCACGATAAGGAGATATCAGTACAGCGATGTAATTGTGTCGTCTCCGGTGGCCTTCGCTGATTGCTCTTACTAGTCCGCAGGCATTACTTCGTTTAGGTCAACGACACGAACGAGTAGCCCGTAGACAGCTCACCATCTTTAGTCTTTGCCTTCTTGTTGTTGTCAAGTATTTTGTTCAGTTGTTCCCATCATATTTTGCGAGTTGGATCTGTCTATATTTTTTTACGGTCCTAATTTGCAGTTGACCCCGAACGGCGACCGAGATGTAGATTTTGTCTTCCCCAGCATTGTCTTCGTCTGGAAAATTTAACGCAGTGTTGCCCATTCGATACCTCGGATCCGTCTTGTCCTCCTTCTTTTTCATGATATCGTTCGTTCCTTTTGGAACCTCGGCATTTTCTAACATCATAACATCAGGATCATCGGTCGTGAGCCAGTCACCTCCCTTCGTTGCGATGTTTACGTGGCAACATCTGCATTTTTTATTCTTTTAATCACATGATTGTCATCGTTGAAGAAAAGATGAGCAGCAAAAAAGGTGTATTACGGTCTTCTGAGTGATGACGTGATGAAGTAGAGAAAATGATCGACAAATACTACGCTTATTTGAGGCGGATTTCCAACCCCAAGCCAAATTCCTTCTTTCGAACGCGTATCTACGATTCAAAAACAACTGCTAGCAGTGATGGTCTTCTTAGGATACACTTGGCATCTTTCCATGAACGAGTGAACTGATCTTATCTGATAACTTTCGTAGTTTCTAGGATGGTATGACGACAGATGTGGAACTTTGCTTCCCTTTGCCAGCTAGGTGAGTCGCAGTTATAATCTCGAGGATTCTTCCTATCAACTCTACATCACATCCATAAATGCTCACTTCCAGGAAATAAACTTTGGAGTCGTGAAAGTATCATCTATCTCTTTCGATGAAAATCTCCTTTTCCTTCTGGGACTTTCGCCGGAGAATGTTCCTCTGTATTTTTAATCCTCTCTGCATTATTGGAAGTAGAAAACTCAGTTCTTCTAATAAAACCAACAGGCGCAAAATTCTCTGATCAAGAGAAAAGAAGGGACGAGAAGAAATGAAAAGACAAACTTTAAGGAATATTAATGACGATGTGTGACCGGCTCAACATTAACGTCAACTGCTGTCATGTCTATCAAAACAAGATCTTTTCAAAAGATTAGAATATCAAATAGCCATTTTACTATCGAATATTGTTGGTACCACTTAAAGTAATTTAATTTTATGTATACGTCATTCTTAAATTTGTCATGCGGTTGTACATATCCATTCTTTTCTGTGTTTGTTAGCGCAAGCTCATCAAGTCGTAGCTTTCTCTGCGCAAGGTGTAGCACACATAGCACACACCCGTTGTAATCTCCGTCAAAGTCACTCAACGAGGCGAAGTCGTCGCATATCTTGTACATGGGGTGTCGCTCGAGAAGAGAGTAAATATGCTATGCTTGGTTCGAGATGTCCGCCTATCTCGGAACGGTGACAATTTTTCTAAAAATTTACCCAGATTCCGTCGGACAGCAGCTCGACTATCTCTGTCCTAGCAAATTCTTCAACGCATTACCGCTGGAGCTGTCTGATTGTAGTTAAGTTTTGTCAAAAGTCGGTCTATGTCAATTTCGAGAAACGTTCTGTGAGCGTTAGAGCTAGTTTTAGTGATACACATTTGACAAAAGATCCCCAGGCACATTCAGTATATGCGTGCAACCATCACGCTCATTTTCCATTTGACTGCTCGCAGAGAAAGAGCGTTTCTACCCTCCGCCTACCCTCTGCATATATGTTGCACCCTATATTAATTCATACGACGAAAATATCACCGTATCCCACCGCAGAATTTCCGACGACGTCCAGTTTTCACCAATGATCCATTCTTCAAGGCTGTACGGTCTTTCGACGACTGCGACGTGGGATTTACTACAAAGATTACAAAGTGCAGTGGGGTTGCATTGTGTATAATGGAATCCAAACAGTTCAGTAGTTGGGTCTGTGTGTTCCTTAAGCATGCGGGACCGAAAACCTCTGGAAAATATAACATTATTTATTTGCTATGCTAGCTTAAAGTAAATAAATTATATGTAAACTATAATAGTTATACAGGAGTAGCTGTTTATTACGATATATAAAAATGTATTCCTTTTGTCTCACATGTGGGTTGCACACGGACCCCTCCTTCACGGAATTCCGTAAACCTTATAAATCCCAATATTTCGGTACTTACGAATATTTACAATCACACCCAGTGCAATGGTACCGAATTGTAAACAATACAATCAAAACCAAACGTGCAAGCTTAAGTACACGAGATAACAGTATTTGTCCCACTATATTTTATCTAGCTCTATATAGGCTTAGTACTATTCTCAAGCTAATACAAGTAAGTCCTTTTCTCAATTCGAAAGTCGTCACCAATGGTCTCTCTGCCGTCGACCAGCTATTGTAGGTTCAGACCAAGTCATAAAGTATAAAATCATTGATTTCTGTGTTCCAAGCAGGTTTCATTTATATCAAAATTGTCCCTGATTTTGCGATTGTTTTTTGAGTTCGTGAATAATTCAATCTCGTCAACACCATCATTTCATATAATTAAAGAATATTTCTCGCAAAACCAGTAAATTGATCGGCACGAATGCAAACTATGGCGATGGACCTGAAGTAATACGGTTCTTAAATATCAGACTGATCTTGCTGTGGAGTAGCAAGTTCAAGATCTAGATCTTGAGGTGCCTGACACGCACGAAGCAGTGTCTTTTTGGACTGTACTTAGTCTCTCAAGTAACTGGAATTTGATCATATACCACTGCAATCCCCTCACACCTGATATTCATGGCTCAAAACAGACATGCCAACAGTTGCCGGTGAACTCGACACATGACGTTGCAAACTATTGGTCGCACAAAAGACTATGCGAGATTGGTGCCGTTTTTATGATTCAGTGTTCGCATTAGTAATTATGATTGGGCATTGTCAGTAAAAACCATACATTTGATATTCGTGAAAATCGCCGTGAAAAGCTCAAAAATTAAAAAAAGAAAGTCAGTCGAGATTGTCAGAATAGGAGCATAAACACAGCCTCGTCATTCTTCTTCAATAAACGTTTGGTTAATGGCACGCTCGCTGTAGACTGACGTATCGAATAGACTTATGCACAAAGAACAGCAACGTACAGCGCAAGTTTTGTCTCCTTCCTTTTGCCATTAGAATCTTCGTCTGTACCGACTTCAATGGCTGTTCTCCAGCCTTTTAAATGCACAATTTAGCGTTTTGTTGTGGGCTAAGACGGAAGGAAGCGATAGTCCAATCGAACGACTTGAATATGGCTGTTAAAGGCACACATTTTTACTACTTAATAATTGGCTTGACGTGTAGGTTGTATATTAACGTTTGACGCCCAAAACCACCGCCAAAATTTTCGTCGGAAAATATAGAAATGAAATTGGTAACATGAAGTCGCGGAAATGGCGTTCTGTGACCTTTCATATAAAATTTTGGTTGCATTCGTTGCTAATTTGCGTTTTAATCTCAATCACTTGAGACCGATTGGAGTAATAAATGTGCATGAGCAATCCTTCTTGATCATTTTATACCTTACTTTTCATATTTTTTAGCCACATCTATCGTTACGATATCTACTGTCGCAAAATTACGGTTGTGCAGTGTAGAGCACACTAGCCTCGGTTGTGATTTCACTGTGTTCCTCCATCGAAGCCTGCTTGACAAACTTTAGATCACAATAAATCCTTGCGGCCTTATTTATTAATACTGTTTTTGTCATCAGGTATGATTTGTCAACGTCAGCTTGGTTGCTCTTCTCTTTGCAAAAGACACTCTTTGTAAGAGGTTGCGAGCGCAGATGACATTTTTTAAAAATTGATCAGTTTTGCTTCTTAATCGACAAAATATCATCAGTGATTGTTCGGAAAGCCTCGCCTTGCGTTCTGCACTTGTAGCATATAATTTATTAGCGGGTCAGCCGTTCAGATTTTCCGCGCTGTGCTCTAACATGTGAGGCGGCAACTCCAACCCCACCTGTCATTCATGTGAATACTGTTCAAGTGACACCCACACGTTTAGACGCTTTTCTACGCATTTTTGAGATGATGAAGTGCATCATTTCGGCCTAACCATCGGGTACTTGAAGTATCAATATGGTCATAGCCCAATATACCGTTTGAAGCACAATGACGCGACTCTGAGATTGCTGTTAATCAGATGTGCAAGAAATCACTAAATTGCTGATCATAAGCCACATATTACTAGGCAGAAGACGTTGTAACCGCTTTCGTTGAAAATCTACTGATCGTCAGCATACCCACGATGTAGCAGATAAGCTGAAAAGCTGAAAACTCCGCGCTTACATTTCCCAGCGCAGTTTCGAAGGTCTTTTTTGCCATGCTATAAACGCTAGTTTGTATCAGCGATTCAAACCTCTTTTTTGCCCGAATGTGCCACCATATTATTCATACCTACTGTACGCGATAGAGAAACGATAAATTATTTCTTCATTCTCGAACGGCGTTGATTAGCTTTTTTCGGTTGACGGGTTCAACGCACTTCATGACACATATGACCTCGCCTGAGTGCGTTTCTAATGCCGAAGTTATGATCATTACGCTATCCTCCCCAATTAATATTCAGCCGTGACAGCTCTCCGCACTGAAAATTGGGTGGTTGAAGTGCTGATTAGCATAAGCTTTAGTGATAGCGGAAGGATCTTGTCACCACCAGCATATCCAAAGCACTTCATAAAGGGAGATTTGAGCCGCCATCAACAATATTACATTTTGAAGTCGAGGGTGGGTTTTATCGCGCACATCCTAGACCGCATGTGTGGCGCGCTGTTGCTCCGTCTGAACTACGTCCGAATTGGTTGTGATCGCAGGGTCTCATATCCAGATGAAAAGTTCTTTTTGTTCATACCATCAAAGATATGGACGCAGAGTCGGCAGCCTCGCAGTGGCTTCCATCTGTGCTTCCAACGACGATCGACCGGGGAGCTCATGGAACTGTCTCGCCAGCGCATTCTCATAGAACTCAAGGGCCTCCAGTCGAGCGACACTTGTTCCTGGACTTCGGACCACCACTCCCTCGATCTCTTCAAGACCAACAATAGACAAGATTCCTAACCGTGCCTAGTTAGCCCGAGGACAGCCAAATAGTTTGTCTTCTATCCCCATTGGGGATACAGTACTTTCATTATTCAGCTGTAAAATTGATTACGAGAGCCACCGAGAGCAACCAGGTTGCCATGTACGATTCACAAAGGAGAATTTGGCTTTTAGATTTTGCGTCCGCAAGCGCAAAGAGGTACGGCTCGTTCGTGTGCCCCACCAAAAAGCGGGACTGAGAGAGTTTACAATAACTAACAACCGAGGTTGCTCTGCTAGTATTTTGAGTGGGACATGAATCTAAATTTTATTTTATTTGAATGATGCTGAATCCAGGCGTTGTATCAGATACGATACTAAAGCTGTTCTCATTGTATGATGTAAGGCTGACAGGGTATATGTACAACGGATCTCTCTTTTTACCACGTTCCACCATACTCATGAAACTCGATGTACTGGTACTTTTGAATACTCCAATTTGCGCAAAAGTTTAATATACAATGTCGTACGACAGTGCAATGTCGTATTTGGTGTACAATACTAAAGCCAAGCAAATATACCTCATGATACCGTTAAAGTCAAGCCTTGTGTTCACAGATTACCAAGCTAGGGCCAGACATCAGGTCAGCGATATGCACAAAGTTATTGCAAGAGTGGTCATTTGAAGGCTGCGTTTCTAAGACAACGGATGACCCTGAAGACCGGTCATTTGAAGTCCATGTGCCTCAATAAGGATGCCGCTGAAAGACGCCAAAAGTGTTATTTCCGGCACTAACGCACCCAGAGCCTTTGTGGAAAATGTACTTTAACGAGCGGAGTTTCGATGCTAGTTCTCGCAACACCTAATAAGATATTTCGAGTGCGCTCAGAGATCTTGTTCATCCGTCAAGGAAAGCTAAAATAGGCGTTATATGTTTAAAAGTTGGAAATTCTTATCACCGAAATGGTATCCGATCCTCTCCCAAAGGCAGTAACGATCATCAGCTTTATGTGAGTGATGGTCGGTACTGTGATTCTCCGCGTCCATCCTACTTCTTTTAGAAAGCGGTGGGTCTTGCAATAAGTAAGAGTAGAAAAGTATGAGCTCTATGAGCGCGCCAGAGGCGGTGGAAGGTAAAAAATATTATTAGCCGCTGAGCACCATCGTACACTCCAAATTGATAATCTGGGCCTTGCGTTTCTCCTTGAAAGGTACGAAGATTTTAACCTTCACGCAAGGCTGTCTGGCAATCCTCTCGGAAGGAAGCATCAACTTCCATAGAACCCAGGGCGGTCGAATCACCGAGAAAGAACGAGATTTTGCTGTATCTTCTGGATGTTGTGTCGAATGGATCCCCACCCAAAGAATTTATTTGAGAGAGGAAAGATCCACAGTTCATCATCGCCCCTGAATTCGGGAAAAGAAGTTTGCTGACTTCGTCGCAGTTAAAGCCTTGACCGGCTTCTAAACTTACCCCATATACAGTATGCTTTTCAATTTGCCTGGCCATTTTTCTTCTTAAATTCTGTTTACAGATGTTTTGTGGCTAGCTAATTCGATTTTTGTGTTAGAGGTTCTTGAAAAAAAACTTGCTAATTATTATTTAGATCGACACGGACAAGATTTTATTATAACTTTAGTTAGGAACGGATCAGATTAGACAATTTTCTGGTGCTAGTACTTCTCATGTTGGTAGGACGAAAAAGCTGAATATCCACTGACTAGTATGCAATAGTCAGCCTCGAAAATTCGTGAAGTTTTGATAAAGGAATCTATTTGGTGCTGCTATTTTCTCTGTGCGACTAGACGTCATCTTGACATCGTCAGGACCAAGCCTTACTACTCGAGATATACCCTTACAAGAGATTCGATCAGGAAATCGCGGCTATAGGCCGCTTTAAGCCCTCTCACTAAAGACAAACCCTAGAATTTGCAATAAACGCACGCTGACTTCCGTTTCGTTCCAGTGACATGCTATTTTCATGACTGAGTGTCACTAATCTCATCCTTCACGTGGCTTAACATATATGCTGGTGTAGCATCTGCAGATACCAGGACGCAGCTCAACAATAAAGAAGTAATTTTCGTTGTATCTACCTTAAGCCTGCTCACAGCGCCTCAGTTTCGCACCCCAACCGTGACTCTGATGATCTGACGGTGTAATTTGCATTTTACGTAATGCTCTCCACCTTCTCAAAAAAGACTTATGTACGCGGAAAAATTTAATGTGAGATGCACTGCACAGAGACCCTCCATAAATAATCTTCGGTGCGCTTGTTGTTGTATCAATGCTTCTGTGCGTGTGTGACCGCGAATGAGTCAAAAGCCCCCCCCGTGCAAGACGTTGCTATTATTCATGATAATTGTCGTCAATCCGACGACTGAGCTACAAGGAGACTTGACTTCGTGTGAAGATAACCATGATGGGTTTGCCCAGCTCTCCCGGGTCATGAATAGTGGATGTTACGTGTCAATATCGGATTCTCTTTGACTTGGCTTGAGGCTTTGCCAGCTACAAAAAGGAGATAACAAGGCGCCTATTAGAAACAGGAGCTTCTCTATTAGACTGTGGTGATTGTAAAGCTTTATAGAGCGACACCGCCTCTAATATGAGTTCATCTTGACACGAGATATCGTAATGGTCATGATTTTGGCCCTGTTCCAACAAATTACCTGGAAGCCTATTACTTTCAAAATTTGGAGGTTGCGTGCAGGAACTGGTCGTGGCGCAGGGTCTCTTTGTTAACAAGGCAATCTCAAATTAAAGCAAGCGATATCGTGATTCTGAGAAGCACATTGCTTGAGGCTAAAAGCCCACTATCTCCTTTTGGTCGATAGATATCTACCTCAGTATTTTGGCAAAACTTGCCAGTTATGCGATCGTCTCTTGATGACTGTATCGCGCACAGCGATTTTGCTGCGAGGCTATTCTAGATGTAAAAGATTCTTGAATGGGCCGCACGCTGCACGTGTTGGCAGCTTTTGGTTGCTTTATGGCGCGTTGATCATGTACTACAGGGCTGACTCGAATACTTTTGACTATTGATATTTGCACAACAGTGAAACGCTTACTTTAATTATTCTTTTTTTCTTTTTTTTGACCACTACTTACCAAAAAATAAATGTGAGATACGAATGTGTACTGCTATCACAGTCTAAATTTTTAAATATTTTTCTCTGCCGACACAAATTAAATGCAAAGTTTGTTGAATTTTAAATTATTTCTTTGCTCCCCCAGAACGCTCTAGTACCCACACATGCAATCTATAATGTTACGTTCATTCACTCAGCGGCTATAAATTTAAAACTGGCGCACATTGTTACTAAGATTCGAGCCTACTTGCTGCACTTAATCTGAATTTGTATTTTACATAAACACATATTACAAATATATTTACCGAGTAAAACGCAAATACGGCCTCTAATTTGTCAGGAATATCGTCCTATCTATCGACTTGATTTCAATGGAGCTATTTTTCACTTCTATTACTATATTGCCACGACGAGATTTCAATACGAACCACGAGTGGACTAGCGGCACGGACTAAAAATGCACGTTGTCATACATTTGTTATGCGTACCATACCGTGATTATATCTGCACGGATTCGAAGAAATCCGTCGGCAGGATGATCAGAATCAGAATAGTGGGTAGATTGAAGCTCGCCGAAACGATTTTGCGGTAATCACGGGGTCCTGTTGTTGAAAGCCAAACCACAACAATGTATATTGAACCCCCATTTAGTTTTCAGATGCCAGGAAGTCCAATCACATTGCTCATTAAAAAGATTATTGCTGTGGTAAAGGCGCTTTGGTCTCTCTTGCTTCTGCACCCGATTTACACCCTTGCATTTTGACTGGGTATGGGCTGCAGCCGGTCCTATCTACCGTTTTCTTGATATATCCCTGCCACACTTCCCTACGGATTGATATATTTGTCCATGTTCGCTCGCTAGCAGTAAGACTCGTAGAATTCCGGAATACTGAGGACATGCAATGAGAACATCCAATCTAGTGGGTTACCCTCCTCACTCTTGGAGCAATTGCTTTGCTGAAGCCGACACAATACAATGGAAACGTAATCATATGGCCTCGGTGTCAGTGGTGAAGCGGCATGCAGAACTTCAAAAATATTAAGACATTGTAATATTTGCTCCATTACTTATGTACTAGCCGAGATTTTAAAGTCTTTTTCTTAGCATAGCAAGTGAATAGATGTGTGCATACTGTATAAGGAGATAAATTGTGAGAGCAATTGCAATCTGGCACAGCAATATACATACGTCAATTATGACACCTTTCAGGCTTGATCATGAGCTACAAAACAACGCCTGGTGAATAGACGACGAGGTTGCGCAATCACCTTAATAATGCCATACAATAGATTGAGCTTTTAAGCCATCAAGAAAGCATCGAGGAAGTATTAGTCTATGTGGGTCAATGGCGCAGGGGCGACAGCCGTGAGTGCTTGTCGGTGGAGGTGATACTTATTTACCAAAACCTTCCATTACTACTATTTTTTAACGAGAAGAGAAAGATAGGCGTCAGAATGTGAGTTCAGATAGTTGTTACCTCATGTGGACCATTGTACACTGGATCTACCGGGCTTGATTGCCAAGCACAACGTGTTAAAAAGTTGTAGGCGCACGTCATGCGATGCTAGTAGCTCATTAAATTGGTGGATAAAGTGAAACTGTCAATTGTCAAGTACATTTTAAGCGCTGTACTAATCAATCTGAATGAGGTACGTGCAGATGTTCATTCTAGATATCGCCAAATTTCAGCTGTATGGCAGTGATTACACTCTGGAAGTTTGCCTTTGTAATCGACGCCGCCAGGAGAAGCAATCCTTTACGGAAAACATCTTTTACCACTGCTTTCGAAATGTTGTCGCTGTTATGCTTTTAAAGGGCCGAAGAAGTCAAAGCTGGATGTTATGTCGGGTATATAATGAAGCCTTAGACACTGCAACCGCATCAATGTATTTTTTACAGCTTTATGATGATAAGAATTTCGTAAATATCTACAAATTATCAATCAGGCATTTTTGTTGATGTCTATCGCGACATTTGATCAGATAATTTTAGTTGCCAACAATGTCTGGGCCATAGAGCATGGGTAGCAATAATGAAATACACGGGCGCTCTTCTTTTAGATTACGACAAAATCACAAGTGATAAAGATTCTACGAAATGTGGTCAGATAAAAATCGTTGGTCGAAGTAATGTTGCGCCAAGCCACAAAGCAGAGATGCGTCCATGTTGATATTAATGCGGTTGTCCTGATGAATAGTGAGAGCATTCTTCTAGATCATAATACATTTGGCAGTAGTCCATACCGCTTGCGACGAAGAGAGTGTCGACATAGTAATTAGGCTTCTAACAATCAGTCAAGGCCAGCAACACACAGTATTACAACGGTATCCAAGGACACTGCGAAACACAGCATTTTTACCAGCCTTGACATCTGCAAAAAATCCATTGATGCGGCTTTCGATACAAACCGCTGTCTTTCCCGAGCAGAAATTGGGACATGAGTTTACCAAAAATAGGAGAAAGATGTTTACGCGGCGGAAAGCATCATATATCACTACATGAGCTTGCGGCTCACCTGTTAGCAATCAGTAGGCTCTGCATCAAAATAGTCCCTTTTTCTAGCAGTACTATGTGGGCTACTAATTAGTACAATGGACCTCAAGGTGTGTAAGTAAAATAAGGCCAACATGATTAAGGCGTAACACAGATTGTATTCCACATTTTGTTGGAGTAGTGAAGACCTGATAAATTAAACATCTTTATCAATTTTTTTAACTGTACGGTATACAAGCTACTTATATATCTTATTACAAAGTCACGCGCAAATGTACGACTTGTTATCAACTTTTCGTGGTGTTTTTTAACGAAAGGACAAAATACTGGAAGATGTTGTTCAGAGGACTTGTGATCTTTCATAAAGCGAAATTACTGAGATGAAAAAACGGACGAGATACAAAGGCTTATGACCGCTTAGGCATTGTGAACCGTGTGTAGCCGCAAATTTTTTGAGCCCTGTTATCAGCTATGAAGGAAAATATTCCAGATTCACTGTGGATAAGATGTATGCGGTTAAATCTCAAAAGTGAAGCCTTTTGCACGCTCACATACCAATGTCGAGTTGTCTTGAGATGACCAGCATTAATTTCTTCAAGTTAGCGATGGACGACACGAAGTAATTTGGCTCTTGGACACAATTTCATCGAGCCTCCAAATAACATTCTGAGAGACGCATGGCATAGATACAGCTAATGATGAAAAATCTACAAAGTTTGTAGTCTGGCTGAACTTATTTGCACCATCGAATTGATATTTGCAGTCTAAAAGGTGCAACGGTGAGTACTTCAACAGCGTTACCTAATTGATCACAGCAGGCACAAAGTGCAGTTTGAGAGTGAAGTGCTGCACACTAGTAATCAGAGTGAACAAAAGTCAACCCTCACGTTGACGCTTAAAGACTTCTTTATGATGATGCAAAATTTAAATCCAGACCGAAAAAAGTGTTGTGGAACACGTCAACTTGGATTTGTTTGTGATTCACGCAGTTATCATGTTTGTGAGCGCAAACGTCAGAATATGATAAGTTCACGGATTAAAATGAGCAGTGAGTCTGATTTTGATTTTGTCTTCTTTTTTAGATTTATTATGCAGCAAGCTTTGGCAATGACCATCCGCAACGCGCAAGTGCTAACAATGCATAATTGCGGTCTTTACGTGCCAAATTAAACATATAGCCTGTATGCAGCTATGTCCAGAGCATATTTGCATATAACAGCCATGGTATTGATCGAGCATCCAGAATCATAAGTTAATGAAGCAATATATGAAAATAAGACGAATGTTTGAAATCGGAAACATAAATGTCGCTGGATAACACATACTCGATATCTATATGCAAGTCGTTTATTACGATATCGTGCGCCCTTTGGTAAATGCAGGTATATCTTGATATATGCTACTGCGAGTGATAGCGCAGTTTTCAATTTTCCTTCTTCCGCAAAAGTGCACAAGAACAGACAACCCTTGCGACAATATTCAGACTCCATCTGTACACCGTCCACTCGCACCCTTCGTCTGTTTTTGACCCCTCCCACATCAACAGTCTCCGTTGCGCCGACTTTGCTTGACCTCTCTGTCAAAAGCTTCCAGTCTCACCTCGCGGTTTTTGCTATAAAACGCTAACTGTGCACTCTGTACCTTCACCCACTGTCTTTACCCCAACAAGGTACGCGCCTTTTTCCTTCAATATTAACCCCCATTTTCTGATATCTAGTGTTTATTGCATTTTAAATGAGCGGACAAAACAACCACCATTCAAGGAAACTTGGGCTGAATTCCTTGTCACTCGCAACAAGCCGTGTATCAAGGTACACTTTGCATTGCGTGGCTTGTGGTCAAAGACTCTCGAGATTTTGTGCGGCAAATTTTCTCAAGTTTTCGTTTGCACTCTAACTGCAGTCGGTTACCTGCATAGACTTTACCGGAGTTTTTAGCCTTGCGCTTCAGGCTAAGTCTTTATAGTTAAGGCTAACAAAGAATAAAAACGACATACTACATAAATATATAAAGAGATAACGTAAACATTTACAAACGATGCCTATTGCACCATTCTACCTCGAACTTTGAAATCGCGCCAAGTCCCGACAGAATTACTCCTCGCATCGACTGAAGTACACCGTATGTAGGATCCGATGCCCAACAGAACCACTGGCAGATCTGGTAGACGAGCTGGCAGTGGATTACGTCCTTAGGTTCGGAGTGACGAGCGTCAAGCCCGGCTTCTACAGGAAATTTTGATTTTCCTTACGCCGGAATTCGCTTTACTTCCGCCTCCAATGACGTGGCTTCGAAGTTGAGCCGAGTGTCATTGACTGTTTTTCGCAACGATCCAATAAGCACATTTCTCGAAATATGGCTCGCATTAATATTTAATTTGGTTCTACTTCCTGACGAAGTAATGTATCGAGTCACATTTGACTGATTTGCTTTCCAAATTGCACCTCCCACTTTTATTTTACCAACATACATGCGTTAAGGTATACCCTCACGAGAAGGCACCGTGCATTTCGCACAAATAGACTCCGGATATTCTGGTCGATCACCAAACGAGTCTTTACGGGGAATTTTACTTTCCTCTCCGGGTAACATGGTTTATCTCCACCCATTCTTTATAGACTACAAGGTGGCACGATACAATTAAATCACCCCATCATCCATTCGTCTGCATCAAGAGCTAGAGGCAGCAAATAAGCATTTAAAGAATTGGAGACTATGTCTTCCAGACTATCCCTCATACTGTATTCAGGGATCTGCCGGCTGTACCTTACAATCGGCTCTACGTCAATCACTTCAGGCATCCCAGCCTGCAATGAACAGGCAGCCGTCTGATACTGATACGGGAATGTCAACGTCGGACGACCCTTCAATATATAATGATGATGATTTTTTTTTACAACAAGACCAAGCCGGTCTTGGGGATTATTCTGACCTAATGGATAAAACAATTATTGCACCAGTTTCATCACCCTCCACCCCAGTATGGGCAAAAGCGGCTAAAACTCGTCGACCCTTATCCGCTATTAGTAACCCAACCTCTTTGGATATTTTTCCATGGAGTATGAGGATAAGGATTTAGACTGCTCGGCTCAAGCCAAAAAGGTTGTAAGGCCTGATTATTATAGCATATTGTGGCTTGACACTTTAGACCCTGATATCGCAATGGCATTCTGATATTGAAGTTTGGTAATTTGAGAACGATGATATCTGTTTGGAGAGCACCCCACCCTACAAATGTGACTCGACTGACACTGCTATGGTTGTTAGTTATGCTGCTTATTTCAATGCTTGCGCTAACCCATAAGTTATAGTGACTGGTTCAAATGATTTGGCTTCGGTATGCTCGACGCAAAATGTGAGTTCAATTCCAAAGTGTGTATTTATTTTAAAATCGTGCAAAGACTGAGTAAGAGTGCTCCACATACCTAATGATGGGTTGGTAGCTTCAAACTTAGGTATTGTATGTTCTGTGGCCCGAAGACAGTTGCGCGTGGGCCCACGCAATTGCATGCTAGCGCGCCTAACATTATTACACTCACTTCTGCACTTGCACACAAAAGCGCATATCACTTCTAACTCCCCCCTTCCTATATCATTTGGGTTATGAGCCCAAACAGTGAAGACTACGCTAAACCTGCCCGTTTTGACGGCAGCGACTACCTTCTACGGGCATACAAGATGCAGATGTTTCTCTTGTCACGAGGGTTATAAGGCTTCGTCAATGGCAGTGTTCATGACGTCGACAATGTCAAGAAGCAGAAAGCGCATGCGGCAATTGTGCTCAACCTGGTCGACAACCAGCTTCAGCACGTAATCAGCGCCGACAGCGCAGCTGATTTGTGGATGGTGCTTCGGCGCATTCACGAAGGCTAAGATGTGGCTCAAAGAAAAATTTGCCACGTTCCCTCATGGTGGTGGCTTGATGGAGGTGCACCTCGGTGACCTCGAGGCGCTGCTGATGCGCCTGGACAGCGCGGGGTGCGACGTCGCCCAATAAGATTTATGTGCAACATTGCAGCGCAGCCTGCCAAGTTCGTGCGATGGTCTTGTTAAGGCGTACCATATGTCGGCGGAAACTTCCTTTGTCCTGACGTCGTTAATCGAGTGTGTGCGGAAGAAGCGCGTCAACACGAGCCGGGCATCAAGAAGGAGCGCACCGCGATGCTGACCGGCCTTGCCAAGATAAAACAAGGTAATAAAAATGGCACGTGCTGAAAATGCGGTAGTGTCGGTCACTACCAGTGCGATTGTCTAAAAGGCTTTGAACAAAAGGACGATTCTTATATTGCGTTCTGTGTGGTGGCTAACGAGTGCAGCTCCGATGGTACTCGAACCCAAGCAACTTGCGTCGACACAGGAGCCATAAACCAATGTGCCAGTATGGCAGGCAGCTATTCTGGCACCTGTTTTAAGTGTCATGACTAGGTTTTGGAAAGCGGAGCATCCAACCATATGTGCGGCGCACGCGACATGTTTGTCGACTCATCTTAGTGCGCCAATGTACATAACGGCCCCCAAAGCCGGGAAGACGGTCGTTGCCGGAAGAGGTACCGCTGCACTCAATATGCGTATAGCTAAGCGCGTGTTTGCCGTCCGTCCTGAGAACACGTTCCATGTACCAGAGCTCACACGTAACTTGTTTTCGGCGTCTTCAGCATTGGCAAAGGGTATGACGATCGAAATGGCCGGTTCCTGCTGTACAATCAAGCAAAGCGGTACGGTAGTGGCTATGGGTACCAAACGTGGTAAGCT